AGACTGCAGAAACAGTTCAGAGTTGTAAAGTCACAAACGATACAAAAAGAGCTCCAACATTAAAAAACGAAAATGGCGCTGCAGTGTTGGGAGTTGTGCGTACATCCAGCAAACAAGTTCTACGACGTTAGATGCCTAAAAACTGCAGTGTAAGGTTAGCAGAAAACACAGCGAGGGGCTTAAAATCCAACTTGTGAAACTCTACTGAGTGGAATTGTTCATTCCTTGCAGGAACGGAGTTCCGAGACGACGGCACAAGCGTTCAACTCCCGAGAAGAGCAGAACTTGTCACTCTTGAATCGGTACCAACTCACTCTGAAGTGCAGGCAACTTCGGCAACGCGCTGAACGAATGTGACAATATTAAGACAAAGTCCAAAATGTCTCAGTTTGGGTTTTGTCTTTTCCCACGTTTGTCCTCCAAGGTTATGGCAAAATAATGTTGAAGTTTACATGAAAAAAAAAAGAATGGCTTCCTCCACAGTGAAGCATGGTGTGGGGTTAACCACAAGCAACACAGCAAATGTTTTACTCGAAAGGGCAGAATGATTTCAGATGACATAATCAAGGTTTTCCTTTACTTTGGTATTTGCAACAACAAAAATGCTGAAGTGCTGGTTATTCTACACGTCCATCTTCTGCTGTTTTGCTCATTTTACACCTGAAATAGTAATTTCCAACACCCTACGTCCACTCGTCCCCCGGGGGGACGCTTCATACTTGGTTTGAAAATTGAGAATTTGACACAATTTCCAGATTTTTACTGTTAAAAAAAAAGAAAAGAAAAGCTTTGTGGCTGATAAAAAAAGAGGACTTGCATTTTCATTGCTTAACAGGTTCTTAACGCAGTTTTTTTTTTTTTTTTGCACTGAATAAAATTTTTACTCCGTTATTTCCTGTCTTTCTCCTCACTCAGGGGAGCCAATCACAGAAGACAAAGCCTCCAGATTCCAATCGATACCTGGAGCGACGCTCTTCAGAGCTCCGGCGTGCTGAGGCAACTGTGGCTGGGGCTTTGGCGTCACAACACTCTGCCCACTGGGGATCTGTGAACGTGCTCGCGGTTTGGTTTACTTAACTTGCCTCCTCAGAGCATCAGCAGCTTAAGGGGCTGGAATTAGCTCCAAGGCAAGAACAGAGCCGAGATTCAGAACCGGAGATCTCATTAACGCTGCAGCAAGACCGGTTTGCAAAACGAGCAGCTCAATTTGCAGTCCTCCAGTGTTTCAGGTTGGCAAATTGAAAAAAAAAAATAAAAAGTACTTTATTGATCCCGAAGGGACATGAAATGTTGTTGTAGCTCATTTAGTTAAAGAATTGTTGTAGGTGGTGAAAGGTCCTCCTGTAGCGGTCCGTATCACAGCGAATTCGAAGAGGCTTCCGACTGAAGACACGGTTTTCTCAATAAATACCTGCAAATCTTTCTGCGTCGTCTGCCGATGTCGAAAGAAATGCAATTTTGCAATTGCGGTGTTTCCGTTAAATAATAAGAGACGCAATTAAAATCACATGTAAAGAAGCGTGCACGTGCAATTAGTCACTAATAAACGCTCTGCGTTTTGGGGAAATTGTAATCTGGGATTTTACAGAAGATCAATGGATTCAACACTTTCAATTGACATACAACTTTTGATGAAGAGTGTGATACTAAGAGCGCTCTGGTGGACCTACAAATAAGGAGGAAGACTACTTTCTCTCGTCTTCTTCGTGGTTTCCGCCAGTAGTAACATCCGGCTGTTGATCACGTGACTTGTGTGATGTGGGGGAAAAAAACAAAAGTGCTTTCATTACAGTTACATGCGGCTGAAAAACCACTTCATCCCAGCACAACTTTGTTTTTTATCCAAAAATATAACTTTTTGTGGGGGTTTTTTCTAAATCGGAGTGTTTCCGATTTTTTTTTTTTTTTGAAATCTGAAACAAATTAACCAAATTGATTCTCATAATTTCAATTTGTGCAATTCTAGCCGAGTTTAACGGAAACTCAGCTAATGACAGTCTCCAGAAGACGATGGTGGTCAGGTTTGTCCATCATCTTCATTTTATGCAAAAAAATAAATAAATAAATTCAAATTTTAAATTACATCACAGGCTTTAGCGAAGAGCACAACGCTAACCACGCTTTGCCCTACATATTTACCCCAACCTAAGTGGAGGAAGGAGAGGAAGAAGATAATCTGTCTCCTCCTTCGGCCAGCAGGCCTTCCTCTTCCGTTTTTAATCCTCGGGCAAAGCTCCAGGCCTGCTGGGCTTTTCTAAACCCAGGTGTCCTGCTGCGAGCCCCCCGCTGTGAGGCAACAAGCCTCTCTCTGATTAAGACCCGGGAACAACTGGGCCGCGGCAAACAAACGAGAAGACGTGACCTGGGTGTTCAGTGGGCGTCTCTTTCCACCTGGCCTGCGATTCGCCTCGCGTCACTCACACACTCCTCACACACACGAAAGCCCTCCAGGCAGGAGCGACTGACCGCTCCATCCGACAGCTGAAGCGTGGGGTCTGACTTTGCGAATCGGCCGTCTGGATGAGGATTTAGCGATGCGGCTGCTGTTGCTCCCTTAAAATAAATGAATAAATAAAAGAAACTGCGGCCCATGCTCGGCACTGTTGCTCAGAAAAGCCAAAAGGAGGCAGAAAACTAAGAGGGACGAGTGTATTTTCTCGTTTATTAAAAGCGAGAAGCGAGCTGTGGGGACGCGTTGCATTTCTGTGATGCTTTACCGCCAGTTTTTGTGTCCAAAATGAAAGAAGGGAAAAAAACAGACCAATTCCCATAGGGAGCCCTCTTCCTCTGCAATAAATCTCAAACATGAGCCCTGAGCTGGACGGATGTGTCTTCGGGGACAAAATGGGTCACAGAAATACGACACAAAATGTGTGTTAACACCTTAAACCATCTGAGTTCGGCTCCAGAGGAACTCTTGGAAGGGTCTCTGTTAGGGTACCGATTTTAAAGATAAAACCAAACTGTGCTCTCTGCAGACAAAAATAAACTCTGGAATTTGACTGCTCTGTGCTTGGAGAGACAAAAAAAAAACCTTGATCTAAAGGGGCCCCAGTTCCCATAACTGTTTACAGCTGGACAGTGTCTTGCTCGGAGAAGCGCTCAGACCCACTGAACTTGTTCCCTTTAGGTCACCCCACAGCCACAGACTTTAGTGAATTTTATTGGGATTTCAATGCGGCAGGCCAACATAAGAGCAAAAATAACAAAGCTTTCTCCCCCTTTTTTCCCCTGCTACTTTCACTATTTAACTTTGGTGATGAGCCCAAAGTCGTTGAGGTCGGAAGGCCTGTTTGCCGTCACCTTCATCGTTAAAAACCGCCACCGATTATCCAACAGATTAAAGTCAGGACTCCCCACCCGCCAAATCCTGATATGACTTTCAGCCAGGAGAAACACACGAGCAGAATCAAAAGAAGGGAAGCTGAATGACTTCTTGCTTCCCTGCAGCTCCGTCAGCTCTGCACTGCTTTCCTGTCTCCGACGATGAAAAGCCCATCCCGCAGGATGAACCCGCCACCGCCGTCTTTCTCTGTTAGGAACGGTGAGGTCAGGGTGGATGCGCAGCGTCGTCGTCGTCAGTCGAGCATGCGTCGCGCTTTGCACTGAGGCCAACAGAAGCTCGAATTTGTTCCGGCGTTGCCTTCGTCCACATGTTTCCCCCCCACACGGCTTCCTGTCTCTTCCTCTGACTTTCGTCTTACCACGACCATCATCTGTCCTCCGCATTATCGGATAATAGATGTGGGCGCTGTCTTAAAGAGGGCGCCAAAACGGTGGCAAAAAAATAAAAAGACATTAGTCGGCATTTTCTGTATTTTTAATGGCTCTTTGTGTAAATGACGTTGTAAACTATCTATAACAGAGGCGCCTCGATTATGTGTCCGCGCACACCTCAGAAAGTATAAAGTTGCACTTAAAACCCTGAATATACAGCTTTGGAAAAAATTAGGAGGCCACTGAAAATGACCTCTGATTTGACTTTTTATAGGTTTATGTTTGAGTGAAATGAATATTGTTTTTTTTATTCTACGAACTACTGACAGCATGTCTCCGAAATTCCCAGCAAAACTTCAGTATTCATGTGCAGAAAATGAGAAATGGTCAGAACATCGAAAACCATCCAGCGCCTTCAGGTCTCAAATAAGTTCACAATCGTTTAGAAACAACAACACGCATGTTCAAAAATCCACATCTGGTGGAACAGCCACGAGGTTTTCAGTGGACTTCACTGCAGAGGTCTATTTAATATTTTATGTCTTTTTCCCCCCCCAGAGCTGTGCTTACATATTTCCTGTTGGCTCTGTGCACATATATTCCCAACAAAAAAAAAAAAAAAAAGAAAAGCTTTTTGGTCGGTGATTGGAATGTGTCAACGTGAGGAAGAGTTGACGGCCCCGAGTCACTGAGAAGGTCAGGAAACCATGGAGCCAAACATGAGAGCTTCTCGACTCGGACCTGCACACTCTTTCTACCGACCCCTCCTTCCAGGAGAGGAGAGAAAGTGACGGAGGTCCCTGCAGACGACTGCGTGCGTGTCGCTGTCGTTCGCTAGTTTGTGTATGCAAACAGGCGCCCTTCTGCGAAGGCGAGCACCGTTAAATAAATGGCTGCCAGCGACGAAAGCCCTGGATTCAGACTCTGAGCGGATGGTCCCCGACAACGAGCTGCTGCGGTTTGTTCGATTGTTCGATTGTTGTTCTTTTCTGAATGAAAAAGACACAACCAAGCGGCGCCCTCCCGTCATATCGCAGCGCGTCTTGTGAATGAGAAACGAGCCGACGAGGCGTTTGGAGACGATCAGTGCGAGAGCGAGGAGAAGTTTAAAAGGCGACATTCAACAGCTGTCAGTCAGCGCGGCGGCTCTGCTCGCTCATTTCCGTTCAAACGCCACAATGTGGCAGGTTTTCTCTCTCTCTCTCTCTCTCTCCCCTCTCTCCTTCTCTCTCTCTTTCTCGCTCTTCTGCCTGCAAACTTTTGCGATCGTCGCCTTTACTCACGTTCCGAGGACTTCCTTGAAGTCGAAGATGCTCTTGATGTCATCGACGTGCTTCTTCCAGGACCCGTCGCTGGACTCGCCGTTTTCTTTCGCCATTTCGCGCCGGGCTCGGCGGGAGAGCAGAGCAGAGCAGAGCAGAGGATGAGAGGAGGAGGGAGGAGGATGGAGATGAGGAGGAGACGCTGCCGGAGGATCAACAGCACTCGTCTCACCCAACCCCCCCTCAAAAAAAAAAAAAAAAAAAGAAAAAAGAAAAAGAAAAGTGGTGCACTTTTTGGTATCTCTCCCAGCTTTCTGGCTGTCCGTCAGCGCTGTCTGTCTCTATGTCTGTCTGTCTCACTCATGCAAGCAAGGCAAGCCCGAGGCGGGTGGGCTGGAGGAGGAGGATGAGGAGGAAGAGGTATGTCCTACCCCGAGAGGTTATTTGACTAATCTGCCTGACGTAGCGGATCCTGAGCCAGAGCCTCCCCGCTGATCGCATCACCGAACGGGGAAACACATGCAGCCCCCCCACCTCTTCCTCCGCCTCTTCCTGTTGCTGCCGGGGCGGGGACCAGTCAGTGCGGAGCGGCGACGCAGTGCGCGTGAGGGTCGGAGGACGGCAGCCGGCCGGCAGGTCGGCCGGCCGGCCGGCGCTGTTATCAGCGGCGGGAGGAGCGGGAGGTTCCCGCCGCACTATCTGACACGGTTCGCATTGCACCAAACCCCGTAGAGCAAGGTGGAAAGTCCGGCCCGCCTTTCAGCAGCGCGTCTCCGCGCACAACAGCAAATCAAATCAATCAATCAAATTTTATTTGTAGCCTATAGCACATTTCAGCAGCAAGGCATTTTTAGTGCTTTACATCGCAAACACAAAGTCATGCATCATGGAGTAAACAATACATTGTTACATAGCCTATTACATTTCAAATGCAATTCTAAACAGGTGTGGTTTTAGTTGAGATTTAAAGGAAGCTGTTTAACAGTTTTCTGGAAGTTTGTTCCAAATGTTTGGTCCATAGATGCTGAAAGCTGCTTCTCCTCTCTTGGTTCTGGTTCTGGTCTGCTTTGCATCCTGAGCGGTCTGGAAGGTTGATACAACAGTAGATCTTTGATGTATTGTGGTGCTAAACCGTTCAGTGATTCTTTGAGCTGCAGGGAGCCAGTGGAGGGACTTTAAAACTGGTGTTATGTCTCTATCTTCCTGGTTTTACTGAGAACGCGAGCAGCAGCGTTCTGGATCAGCTGCAGCTGTTTGATTGATTTGTTGGACAGGTCTGTGAAGACGCTGTTACAATAATCAATGCGACTAAAGATAAACGCATGGATGAGTTTCTCTAGATCTGGCTGAGACATTAGTCCTCTAATCCTGGAGATGTTCTTCAGGTGACAGAAGGCCGACTTTGTAACTGTCTTTATGTGGCTCGCAAGGTTCAAGTCCGAGTCCATCACTACTCCCAGGTTTCAGGCCTGGGAGTAGTGATGGACTTTTGAAGTTAGTTTCAGATTCATAGCAGGGGTGTAACAAGGAGATGCCGAGGTCAGAGGGCAGCAATTCACCATTGCCCCCCCCAACCCCCCACCACCACCTTTTGAATTTCTGTAATTTTATTGAGCTCTGGTGCCTCAACAATCACATTTACAACCTTTTATTGGCTCACTTGTGACAGGGCAAAGCTGCAGTGGCTCAGGTGTGTGACATTGTAATCGCAGTAATCTAATTATGGATCACAACGCAGAGGGTCCAGCTCTGAGTACTCTGATTATATTATTTACACACACTGTGCAAGGAGCAGGTAGTAGCTGTGCATCTGTTACAAATGTGCACAAGATCTCATATTTCTGGAACAACATGAGCTTCGTAGGAGTTGATGTGTTTCCATTGGGCGAATCTCTTTTCGAAATATCAAATTGCGCATTTATGCAGTCAGTGGAACTGCAGCTATTTGTCCTGTTGACTGACGATCCCACCTGAGCCGGGGGGGCTCTGCAGCTCCTCCAGAGCCACCGTGCACCTCCTGGCCGCTGAGCTGGTGTCCCTACAGGTAGAATAACACTTTTGAATAAATACGTCGATCTCTTAACAGGAACAAAGGCTTTCGATCATCCATTCGTGTTACTAACCTATACAGTAAGTTCCACTGTAATAGTAATGTTGCATTTTCATGAATGGATCTTTATTTTTACCATTCTAACGTCACCTCCGCTCTTAGTCGATGTAAATAATGGCAGCTCACAGCAGGAGGGCTCTAAAAAAATAATCAGTGAATTATTGTTGAAGTTTCTTAGGACAAATTAGACTAGGATACTAGAATAAGGTTAGAGCTTTACAAAAATCAGAGACTGGCAATCATCTCTTGTGATTATGAATTCTTGCCTACTTTGAAGTTATGAAAGGCAAATGGAGAACGATGAAGTGAAGCTGGCGCATTGAAAGATGAGAGCAGCACCAGCTACAAACATAAATATCCCCACTCTTAGAAACAGCAGGGACTGAACATCAGCTTGAAACAGAAATGCATAAAAAAGTTCATTTTCAAGGGAAAAGAGTGTGATATTTTGAAGCCAATCACATTCATACTCCATACATTATAAATATATTTGACTAAATGGCCATCAAATTTCATTTACTTTCCTGAGAACCTGGACCACGAGGGACATTATGATCCCAGCTAATCAATGACATCAAACGCAACACATTTTCCAACAACTAGTCCTCAGTTCTTCACTACTTGCATTCTTGCTTGTTCTCCCCCCCTAAACATCTTTTGATTTCATGTGCATGAAAAATAAAACACCAGTTTGGACGATCGGAGTGAAAAAAAAGAATAAAGAAGCAGACTGTTGCTGACCTCACCTGATTCATTTCTTCCGAGTACCGGAAGAAACTGAAAAAAAAATAAACTCCTTTGGAAAAAAAACAACAACAAAAAAAACACTTTTAGGACTCGTTGCTCTGATTTGAGAGACGATGTTAGGCTAAACGTTCATGTTCGTTTCCCCTCGTCTTACCTGGTGAAGTTGGGTAATAAACTCATTTCAGACCCGCAAAGATGCTGATTGCTTCAGATTTTTCGTCTGCCGCGAGCAGCCAATTATGACACCTCCAGACCGCCCCGACTTACTCAGATCAAGAGTAAAAGGCTGCAGCTTCAAAGTCTGCAACCAACATTAAGAATATCCTGCATAAGTGGGAGCAGATGGAGGCGTTTGTCACCGAAGCCCCGGATTTGTTGTTTCTTCAAAAATGACGTGCAGATTTCCAGTTCATACACAGAATATTGATCATCTTTTAACCTTTTCACCTTACAACCTCAAAAGGTTGTTTTTTTTTCTATTATGTTAAATAGCAACACAGAGAAGGGCAGCACTGCAAAACAAAAAGAAATTGTGATTTTCATTTTTAAAAAAATAAATAATGTATAAAAATATATAATTTATAATTCAGTTACATCAAATTTCTTGACAACTGAAGGTAGCATAATTACTTGATTAATATTTTCCCAATAGGGAAATAACTAATAGGGAACCAATAAAGAGAAGCTAACACAGGGGAAGTATGATCCTTTCACTTTTTTTTTTTAAACCAAAACTCACGGATCTTTACCGCTTGGTGGACTTCCTGATAGAAACGTTTCTTATTTTAGCAAAATTGCAGAAGTTCAGAAGGCAGTCCTAGAAACCTCTTTTAATATGAATTAAATTTCAAGAGCAATAGTGAGAAAAACAGAACCAGAACCCCGAAGAGCATTTTAAACTTCCCCACACAGATGTGGGGAAGTTTAAAATAGTTTATCTACAAAACAAAAAGCCAAGCTTCGGACATGGCATAGAGAGGGGGTCATCCTCTGAAAATAGAAACCCATCATGACACCAGAGCAGCCATGTAGGGACAAACACGTGACCCGAGACGTCTGGACAAAATTAAACACATTTATATACAGGTAAGTTCAAAATGATTCACACTCCTGGCAGAATTACATTTAAAGGAATATTTTAATTTGATCCACCAGCGTGTTTCGTCTCATTAAAACATCGTTTGTGTGGCCAGAGTCCTGAATTCAGTCTGAACGGAGATCCTGTGGAGGGAATTAAAGACCTGGAGCTCATGAACTGTTTAACAGATGACCGGGAGAAATAATATTTAATACGATTATTGAATTATTGAGAAAGGATATGAACAATAATCAACAAGCCAGTTTTTAAAGAAAATGTGAAATGTTCCTCTCTGTTTAGCTCTTATCCTCCCAGACAGAACTTGGGCTTTACAAAAATCTGTTAGTGGTAGAAAACGGACATTTTCTTTGACAGCGGTGAGACGTGGAGGTTGAACTGCTATACATTTCCCAGGTATTTTATTGTGAAGGGAAAACGCATTCAAAGCAGTGAACTCTTATTTTGACCCTCGACTCTCAGTTGAATTGAAAGAAACACGACCAAAAAACAAACCGTGAAAATAGATTTATTTAAAAAGTTTTGTTGTATTTACAGGAGCTGTTCCTGTTGTCAGTATTTTGTTTCAGTTTCAGCCTTCGTGTAAACAAGGATGAGATCATCTCAGATCATCTTCTGCGTGCAGAATTACAACTGCAACAGTTTTCACCATTTAATCACAAAATGCTTCATCTCCGTCTGAGCTACGGTTGTTTTGCACAACGCCACACTTCAAGATTAATGCTGTAAGTGTAACAACTTAAACCGACCACTTTCTGCTTTCAGCAGCACAAACATGGACGTCTTTGTGTGCGACATGATCAGATGGGTTTGGATTCCTGAAGAAGAGAACCTGCACAGGCTTTATTTATGCAAATGCATCCCTCCGATCATAAAAACAGAATCGTCATGTAAACATGATCTCTAAGGCCTTGATTCAGACAAATCTAACTCCAAACACAAAAAAACTGCTGTAAAATATAAGATTTAAGACAATGCTTTCAAATGATTCAAATTATCACGCTAAACTACACAGCAGCGACTCAAATTATGAGCGTTATTCTCTTGAAGACATTCGTTGATTGCATCATCACCACTGACCCTGTGGTGTAGACCTGCTGCCCGAGTTCTGCTGAGTTTGGTTTCCAGCTTCACTTCAGGAGAACGTGGCTGTGAGGACGGCCTCCTGCTGCTGCTGATGAAGGGTCCCGATGCCGACGGCGGGGGCAGGAAGAGCAGGGCGACTCGCCAACCGGAGCTGATGTGCAGACGAGAATGAGTCGCTTGTGAAACGGCAGGATGTTCTCGTTGAAAGCTACTTCACGCTAGTTTACCTTGCAGGCCAGCTGCTTCTCGAACCTGGGCGCCACGAAAGACCAGGGGCCCATGTTCTGAGGTTCCTCCTGACTCCAAATGAACTCTGGGAAGAGGAAACAAGCTCACTGTCTCATGGTGAATTTCTGCTGCTTCTCTTTTCTCCTTTTAAAATCAAGCTGCCTGACTTCGGTGTTTGCTGGCCTCAGAAAGCTGAAGTGAAACCAGGAGTTTCAAGGTTGGTTTTAGCTCAGAGTCACCTTGACAGCAGAAAGAAGAAGAGCTCTGAATACATCGCTGTACTCTGAGCAGGTAGCAGGGTGTCTGCAGGTTTCAACAAATCAAATTTAAGATCGTTTTAATGCTGCCTTGGATTAAATTAAATTTTAAAAACTATAG